GATGCGGGGCTCGATCCCAGGACCCCGGGATCACGACCTGAGCTGAAGGCATTCGCCCAACCGACGGAGCCCCCCAGGTGCCCCGGGCTTTAGCCTCTTCCCACCTTCTCGAGGAGCATACCTGGCCCCAGTGTGTAGGATCTGCAGCCCCCTCTCCGACAGGGAGCCCCCTGCATGTTTTGGGAGGAGGCGCGTGCTTGGGCAGTGCAGACACACGCGCCCTCTCCTGCCTCCTCGCAGTGACGCCCAGGATCCTGAGAGCCATGGCAGAGCGCCAGTCGGAATTCACGCATTTCAAGCGGATCCGCATCGCCACGGGGACCTGGAACGTGAACGGAGGCAAGCAGTTCAGGAGCAACCTCCTTGGCACGGCCGAGCTGGCCGACTGGCTGCTCGACTCCCCGAAGCGCGCCGGCCTCGCGGGACCCCAGGGTGAGCGCCGCTGCCTTGACCGCCACATGCAGATTCCGGGGAGCCCTGGGTTTCACCTCTTCCGCAGCCCGGGACTCCTGCGATTTGGTATTTGGTGTTCTCACACCTCAGGTTTAGAAAGGGCTGTGGTGCGGGTGTCCAGAGCACATCTGGACAATTACTTGACAAATGTGTGGAAGCATCGTCGGAGTGGGGGGGGTCTCTCTTTTCCTGGACGGAGGTTTCTCGGTTTGCGGTTTTGCTCACCAGAGCCGTCTTTGTCATCGAGAGGAGGACATGGCCCCTTGAGCCACGTTACTGTAGGAAACCGGGCTGGAGCCAGGCACACACACATTTCATGTTGCTGCTGACCCGGAGCATCTGCCCCCGCCTTCTCCCCAAATGCCTCTGTCTGCACATTCACATTAAGTCATCACAAAAGAATTGCGTGCCTTTTAAGAACAAAATAATTCTTAAGTTTGGCACTTCACCTTTGTCTTACATCATGCAAGGTAATGCAGAAAGGGCCTCACGGTGCAGGATTTGAAGCATAAATGATTTTCTGCTGTCAGCGTTATCGTGGGGCTGGCTTTTCCCAGCTGCCTCGGATTCTGCAAGAGAGCCGGCCTCCATTCTCTGCCGGGGGTTGGGCAGGAGCCGCGCGTTCTCAGCAGCCGCCCCAAGCCATGCCCAGAGCCCGTCCCTCACTGTCACGGGCAGTCTGCAGCCACCCTTGCTGCTGTGAGGCCCAAGCTGGCTTGAGTCCACAGGCTGGGGTTCCTGGGATTCTTGGGTCGGTGGTGACCATTCACAGTGCCCCCCCCCCCCCGTCCGGGGCAGGCCCTGTACGTGCCGAGAACATGAGAGCAGCCCCAGCTGAGGGAGCTTCCTTCCCCCTTCTTGGAAAAATGGCTCTTCATGTGCCTGCAGGGATGAGTGCGTGGTGACAGCAAGCCGGCTCTTCCTTTGCAGGGGATTTTATTGGGATGGCGGGCTCAGCAGTGCCCCCACTAGAAACTCACCGGGTTCGGGAGCGGGGAGGGGTTGTGGGGACTCTTGCCAGCAGAGCAGACAGATGGGTATTTTTTTCCTTAAACAAAGAAAAACTCCAAGCCGCTTAAGCTTGTGGTTCCAGGTTGCCCTGTGAGGCCAACAGGAAAGGAAGTGGACGGCCTGGCCTCCCCCAGTGGAGTCAGGGAGGGCGGGGCCTCCCTTTCTGCAGCGCTGGGAACCGCAGCCTGGCCTGAGGGCTCAGGGGCTGAGTGGCAGAAGGGGTTGGGGGGCGCCCTGGAGAGATGCGGCCAGTGGCTGCAGGGGCCATATTAACCCCTCTGCTTCCTTAAAGGGGCCACAGAGAGGATGGATGAGCACCACCTCACCCTGCTGTGTTCCCCATAAAATACCTTTCTGTAGGAGACCTCTGCGGTCCCCGAGCTGGGCAGGGTTTCCCCTCCGGTCACCAGGATGGCAGCCCCTGGGACAGGACCACATCAGTCTGTCATGAGCCGGGCAAGGCTGGGCCTGCACTGGGCAAAGCACGGAGTTGGCTAGCGTGAGACGTGCCTTTGGGTCTGATGCGGATGCTGGGGATGCACGTGATATGTTGGGGAGGAAGAGGAACCCACAGGGCCGTGCCCTTACTACCTGCCAGGTGGGGCGGGTGTGGATGCTTCCCGTCGCCCTCATGAGGTGGCGGTTATCGCCCCTTCTGCAGACAAGGGAACAGGGCCGTGGAGAGGTCACTAACGTGTCGCAGGATGGAGACCGGGAGAGGCCATGGGCACCGGGGGAGGTGAGGGAAGGTGGGGATCAGTGTGGAGCTTCACTGAGTCATCTGGACGAGTGCACCCGAGCAGTGGCACACCTGGGCTCAAACGGAGCACGCGTGGCACCCCACACGTCCACAAACGCAGACCTTGTGCTGTCTGATTTCCCTCAACTCCCGCCTTTCCCCCTAGATGAGGACAGCCCAGCTGACATATTTGCCGTGGGGTTTGAAGAGATGGTGGAGCTGAGTGCAGGGAATATCGTCAATGCCAGGTGAGCATCCGGGCACGAGGGGTGCAGGATTGCACCCTGAAACTCACCCAAGGTTTTCCTGAGCCAGGCGCCTGGCCAGGAGCAGGACACTGGGTCCATCCTGCTGCTGCACCCACTGCCCTGTGACCCTCGGGGTGTAGGTACTCCCGATTGCACTCCTCCCTTCCCCTCCCCCCCACACAGATGTGCACCTCTGGTTCCCCCTTCTTTGCAAATTAAGGAAATAGAAGGAAGGGCGGGTTACTACTATATATTCTTGGACATGTGTGGAGGCTGAGTCATGCTGTGAGCTGGCGTGTGCACATGCCACAGAGTGGGGGCTGAGGGCCGGCCTGGGAGGGTGCTGATTCACCTCTACTGGGGAAGGTGCTTCTCTTCTCTCTACAGATACAAAGAAAACCACTGAATTAATGTTTTGTTTGGGGTCAACTGGACCTTTTCTTTCCTAGTTTAATTTCAAGGAACTTTCTGAACAAGTAGTAAAACCTGATCTCTGCAGCTCTTATGAGCAAGGTGCTGTGTCGGGTTTTAGGTGGCAGGGGTCGGGTGAGGTGTGTGCGATGATGTGTACGACACAACCAGAAATACACGGGTAGTCCAGTGCAGGAGTGAAGGCATGGCACTAACATGGGAGTGGGGACAGTGTGACACTAGTTCTATAAAGGGAATAAGGGCGGAAGGAGCTTGTCAGTGGGAGAGCCCATGTCCAGCAGACTGTAAAGTGTCATTTGATTCTCGTCTTTACCAGTACCACCAACAGGAAGATGTGGGGTGAGCAGCTCCAGAAAGCCATCTCACGCTCTCATAGGTACATTCTGTTGACTTCGGCACAGCTGGTGGGCGTCTGTCTGTATATCTTTGTACGTCCATACCATGTCCCATTCATCAGGTAAGAACATTTCGTTTATGAACATCTGGGGGGCGTGGGGTCGTTTGTCTTGGTGTTTTGTTCAGACTTCCTCTTCCTCCTCCCCTCCTGCAACAGGAATCAGGACTTGCCATTATTCTAGATAAATGTAGCAACCCCCCAAGGACAAAGCAGGCTGAATAGAATATTGTCTGACGATTAAAAAGCCACAGTGGGAACCTTGCAGGCCAGGAAGCTGAACTCTTTCAGAAGGAGTGATTGTTGTCCTCCCAAGCTCGGTTTTGTGCAAGGAAAGGGATTCCTTATTGAAGTTTTAGACGGGAAACCTCTGACCAAGAGCTGAGTAACTCATCGGGAAACGCCAATTCTTTTGTCTCTTTTTAAAAGAGTTCTAAATAAGATGTGTGGGCAGAAAGCCTCTACTGCTGTTACCCCATTGTAATGCCCCTAAAGTGACCGCTTTGTGTGTGTCAGATAGGGAACACTCAGCAAATGGGTGTCCTCATAGGAAAGACTGTGTGCGTGCGTGTGCGCGTGCGTGTGCGTGTGTGCATGCATGTGTGTGCGTGTGTGCGTGTGTGTGTCCGCGTGCATGTGTGCGCGCGCATGTGTGTGCGTGTGTGCATGCATGCGTGTGTGCATGCGTGTGTGTGCGTGCATGTGTGCATGCATATGTGTGTCCGTGCGTGTGTCCGCGTGCATGTGCGTGTGTGTGCATGCATGTATGTGTGTGCGTGTGTCCGCGTGCATGTGTGTGCGCGTGCATGTGTGTGCGTGTGTGCATGCATGCGTGTGTGCATGCGTGTGTGCATGCATGTGTGCATGTGCGTGTGTGCATGCATATGTGTGTCTGCGTGCGTGTGTCCGCGTGCGTGTGCGTGTGTGTGCATGCATGTATGTGTGTGCGTGTGTCTGCGTGCGTGTGTGTTTAAGGTTTGGGAAGAACTCACCTTTTCCTTCAATGACTCATAGCTTCCCACTGCTACCTGGTCTCACTCATATCCATAGAATTTCCGCCCATGCCAGGCTGAAGTCACTGCCTATGCCAGGCTGAACTTTTCCCCCTCCCGGTTGAACACCTCTGAATATTTAGAGGAACAGAGGCATGCTGGGGGCAGTGCGGGGAGAGCATGACTATGCCCCATGCTCATCGTCCTCTCCTTTGACTTTGGGAAAATTTTTAAGTCCGTGTCCGCCTCAAGTGTTTGTTCTGGCAGTTGGGCGGTGTCCAAAGTGCGTGGGTGAAAGCCAGTTATCCCCTCACCTTGTCTGCCCGCTGACAGTCCCAGGGAGCAGGTGTCTGCGTGGAAAAAGCCTACAAATCCCTGCACAAATAACTGGACGATTCCTGCTTCTTGACACTTGTTGGTTACCTGATGGCACCTCCTGCGCTTTGTAGGAAAGTGAGGGGTGGGGCAGGGTGAGCTGTGTCATGGGCAACAAGGAGGACGAGAACTCGGGAGCGGAAAGTCGGGATGGAGGTGAAAGCTTCCCGGGTGCCTTTGTGAGCTCAGGGCACTTGAAAGTTGGGGCAGTGGAGACGGTCCTCCGGGCCCCACCACAGGGAGAGGAGAGAGGTCAGGAGTGACGGCCGGGGCAGTCACCGGGTGGCCTGGCTGCCCAAGAGGTGATTGAACAGCCCAGCTCTTGGCCGCCGCAAAGCTGGTTCGCGCTTCTCCGTCCTAGCTGCTAAGGAGCCACCGCATGTGCACCTTCTGTGTTGCAGGGACGTGGCCATGGACACGGTGAAGACTGGCATGGGGGGAAAGGCAGGGAACAAAGGGGCCGTGGGCATCCGCTTTCAGTTCCACAGCACCAGCTTCTGCTTCGTGTGCAGCCACCTGACGGCCGGGCAGTCCCAGGTGAAGGAGAGGAACGAAGACTACAGGGAGATCACCCAGAAGCTGAGTTTCCCGATGGTGAGAGCACCGTGGCACGGGTGTTTGGTGGCCTGGAATGTGACCGGGGCGTGCGTGCTAGCTCCCTGCTCAGTGCGGCCCCGTGCGTGGTTTTCTGAGTTGCTGAGAGAGGCCAGGCATCGGGGGTGTGACTCCGGAGGGTCCCTGCCCCCGGGAGGGGAAGTGACTTGGGCTGGGACAGTAGAGCTAAGTCCAGGGGATGTCCCTGGAGTGTTCTGTGCCCTGTCTCTGTTACACATTTCCTGAATGTCCTTATGCACCCTACATTTTCTTTGCATTTGTGTGCGTTTTCTGATTTTCTCATTCACTGTCCATGCTTTGTCCAAGTTGGTGAAGAACATCTGAATCCAAACAGTACGAGACTTGGTTTTCTTAAGATTCATGGTCTTCAGACCTACCTTCTGTTGCAGCTCAGATAAGAAGGCCTGTTTTTGTTTTTTTTTTTTTTGCAATCTGTGTATTCATGTTGGAGGAGCCCTAGATCCTCCCACCTGGTCTCCCCGGTTGCTGATAGCGTGCACCATGCTGCCCTCTAGTGGTGTCAGGGGTTTCCACCCCAAAGCCCGCGGAGGGCCTTTCCAGACTCACGTTCAGATGTTCCCCTTCCTGTGCAGAGATGATTGCCTGCACACCTTCAGCCTGGTGCAGACCCCCGTCTCCCTGCAGTGAGGGGAGGCCAACTCTTTCCGTCCCATGTCCTGCCTGTGTCTGTGACACAGCTGGCAGGGTCATGGAGCTCCTCCGTGTGAGCCCAGATAGATCCCATAAACCTGACATCCTGTGTACGGGGCTGCACAAGTACTCCAGGCGAAAACTCTTTCATTTTCACTAATAAATGCTGTAATCTCTGCTGTAGTTTCTATTTCTTGGATTAAAGAAGAAACAGACAGGGTTGGGAAATTTACAACGTGAAGTCTTCTGGGACTACAGAGGACATGGTGCATGTTTTCTTTGTGTGTCCATTTAGTTAAAAAAAAAAAAGTCCCTCTCTTCTCACTTAAGAGTGCTATTTTGAAATAGTAAACTTTGGACACATTGAAACTATTCAAAGGGCTTATAATGGAGCTTTTTTTTTCAACAACAGAAATATCGAGGATACCTATAAGTTAATACTCTATACCTGTGCTGCCCAGTAGACAAGCCACAAGCAGATATTTAAGTTTAAATTCATTAAAATTAAATGAAATAAAAAGTTCCTTGGTTACACTGGCCATGTGTCTTGGCGGCCACGCAGTGGCTGCTTGTGGCTGGTGGCTCCTGTTTTGGAAAGTGTGGATGGAGAACATTTACATCACTGTAGAACATTCTCTTGGGCAGCAGGGCTCTACACACTCATTGATTTGGTTGTGATCATGTTAATCTTCTGTCCAGATTACTGCCGTGGGTTGCAGGGAGTGGAAATGCCACAGGAGGATAGTAGAAACAGACTTTGGAATTAGGCAGATCTGAGTCCAAAGTTGCCTTTGTTACGCATTAGTGATGAAACCCCAGGACAGAGCCCAGCACAGGTAGACGGGGGGGGGGGGGGGGGTTGTGGCTGCTGTCATTGGCATGTGATTCGTGGCAGGCAAGGAGGGGTGAGGATCCCGTGCTCTCCAGGGCTGCGCTGGGGGACCACGGGCGCAGGGTGGGCTAGACAGGGCGGGGGAGAAAAGAAGGGGACAGAGGGTCACAGGATGGAAATGGATAAAATCCACGACACTTTACAAAGTTGCCCATTTCGAGCATTTTTATGTTCTTAAGCCTGATCTCATAGCACAATGTTTGGGCAACTCGTCTTTGGATGTAGACGTAATGAAAGCAGCACGGCCCGATCTCGGAGCTGGGGCGGGTGCAGTGAAGATGGGAAGCCATGCTTCCCAGTTAGAGATGAACTTTCTCCAAACCACTCAAAAACACCATCATTTAAAATGAAGGAAGGGGCGCCTGGGTGGCTCCGTCGGTTAAGCGTCTGCCTTCGGCTCAGGTCGTGATCCCGGGGTCCTGGGATCGAGCCCCGCGTCGGGCTCCCTGCTCGGCGGGGAGACTGCTTCTCCCTCTCCCGCTCCCCCTGCTTGTGCTCCCTCTCTCGCTGTGTCTCTCTCTTTCCGTCAAATAAATAAATAAAATCTTTAAAATAAAATAAAATGAAGAAAGCCACGTAAATGCTCCTCAGTAGGTGTATGGGATTAAGGAACGATGAGATGCTCCCTGGGAAGTCTTCCGTTAAGTAACATTTTAAGAAAAAACACACATCGGTATCGTCCGCACGGTGAGTCCCCCTCCCACTCCACCTCCTCTGCAAATGGGCCGAAATGACTGTGATTTTCTTTAACAGGGAAGGCATATTTTTTCCCACGATTACGTGTTTTGGTGCGGCGATTTCAACTACCGCATCGATCTCACTTATGAGGAAGTCTTCTATTTTGTCAAACGCCAAGACTGGAAGAAACTTCTGGAATTTGATCAGCTGCAGCTACAGAAATCAAGTGGGAAAGTAAGTTGGGCTCTTAAGTCAGCAGCACACTCTGCTGGAGTCGGAGCTGCTTGGAAGGGCCGCGCGTCCCCATTGAGTGCAGCGCTGTGTGAGGCTGCTGAATGCTGACCACCCCACCAGGTACTCGCGGGCCAGCCCTGTAGGGTCCGCCGTACTTATATGTCCTCAGCCACCGAGTTACACTCCAAGTGCTCTGTTTTCGGGAGATCTCTGTTTCTCAGTGGTGAGCACACACACATTAGAACAATATTTGATATACTTTATATACCAACTGCTGTGGATAATCCTCCAGACCGTCCTACACATTAGGTATTATACCCATTTTATAGACAAGAAAACTGAGGCCCGGGTCAAATGAGTCCAAGATCACACAGTCAGTACACAGAGCCGTCACACAGATGCAGTCCACAACTGTCAAACCACCGGTGGTTCATGTTTACCCCCTACATGACGCATGTGCAATTTTTTTAAAAGATTTATTGATTTATTTTAGAGAGACAGCATGAGTGGGAGGAGGGGCAGAGGGAGAGGGAGAAAATCTCAAGCAGACTTCCCACTGAGCGTGGAGCCTGATACAGGGCTCAATCTCATGACCCCAAGATCACGACCTGAGCCAAAATCAAGAGGCAGATGCTCAACTGACTGAGCCACCCAGGTGCCCCCCCATATGCAGTTTTTTAGTGACTCCTTAGGCTATGACGTGATAGGAAAGATTCAAGTATGGGATCTGTCCTCAGTTCTTCAAGGGCACCCTGGCCAGCTTCCAGATGACCCAAAGTGTATCTTCTCCAGCTTATACCGTCTGCTCGTTTTGGTGCCTCTTAGCTTTGTAGCAGGTGGGGCTCAGATGACAGAAGCATGGCCCCGCTCCATTTACCTTTTGAAAATAATACAGCTGGTCCAGTGTGCGGAGCTGGGGGAGGTAAGGTCTGTTCCTACAGCGAGATTCAGACATCCTCGAGGTTTTCTGTTCACTTCCCGCTCAGCCCTGCCCCGGATTGCCAAAGGGTGGCCAGATGAAAATGTAACCACACCTTTCCTCTCTAGAACAGGTTTTTCTTCCTTCCTCCTACCAGTATTGTCCACACCCTTCCACAGATGCACGGAGAGAAGTAGTGAGGTCTGTTCCAGGGTCTTCTCACGGCCCTGGGGCTGGATCCAGAGCTAAACAGAAACAGAATTTAGTTTCAGTTCTGTGCTTCTATTTACCCAACTCATTTAGTTAGCAGATATCAACCAAGGCCTTGTTAGGTACGGTCTGGCGTTTCACCAGGTCTGGTGCTGAACGGGTGGGCACCTGGGATCCTCGCCGCGAGGTGATACATTGGATACCCGAGGTGGGTGGGAGATCCTGGGGTGGTGTGTAAGTCAGTGGAATGAATAATCATCACTCTGTTGCTAACAAAATAGCACACACGTGTTCAGTTTTAAACATACTTACAACTGTGATGTAGATTCTGTGTCTTTTTAGGAACAGAGCACTCTGGAATGTGCTTTTCTGTTTTTTGTTTTTGCGTACGATGTACAGAATCTAGGAGAGCTAAGGTGGTCTTGGTCTTTTCTCCCAATAGATTTTTAAAGACTTTCATGAAGGCGCCATTAATTTTGGACCTACCTACAAATATGACGTTGGCTCGGCCGCCTACGACACAAGTGACAAATGCCGCACCCCTGCCTGGACAGACAGGGTCCTGTGGTGGAGGAAGAGGCACTCTTTTGACAGGACAGGTGCGAGAGATGTGTGCGCACTCAGAGCTGGCGGAGGGTGAACGATCAGTAGCGTAGAAGTCAAGTCAGTCACGTTTATTCAGCACAGCGCCCTTTGCTACATAAATAACATCTTTTTTGATAACCCCAAACTACAGGAAAGTCATTCCAGTTGGTAGCCCCTAAGCTTTGGAATTTGTGCTTTGGGGAGCCCCCCGGCTCGCCCTGCCCCCGCATCACGGCTGTCTCCCCCCCACATACACCACGCCATCTGCCTTCCATTCTGGGTGGACAGCAAGGAGAGAAGCCGCGGCTCTCCCTCCCCGGTGACTCACCCTCTCACACACGTGCACTTGATCAGGCGCATTTCATTCAACCAAGCGCTGACCTGCTTAAAGCTCCAATTCCACATCGAACGTGAGCCAGACGCAGGAAAGAAGAGTTTTTTCTCAATTCATTGTCAAGTACGTTTTGAATTGTTAGTGATGGCCAACTAGAAAGGGCGGTCGATTTAGAGCACCTAGAGGTAAAACGGCTCTGCTTTTCTGGCGAGGTGGACGCAGAGATTTCAAAGCAGGGAATCCCGTCGTTCAGCTCAGTCTTTGGACATCTGTGGACATCCCCCGGGGCACCAAGAGGCAGGCGCACCGTGATGTCCTTAGCCGCGGCTTTGCCTGCATAGGGGGCTGCAGACTTCCTGTGTTCCTGTGGGCCCTGGGACGGGAACCCCAACAGCTACGTCTGCATTCCCACTCAGCTTGTCCACTGGGGAGGAAGTAGGCAGCACTGGGTCATCTCCATAGATGATCTACCCTAGACCCCCCCAGGCCAGCTCGGCAGGGTTTCCGGCCCGGCAGGTTAGAGCAAACGAGTCTGAGGCAGGTGTGTCTGTGCCGTAGATCCCTGGTGTAGGCTTCCTCAGTCGGCATTCCCATATGTTGATACTGTTTTCTGTTGTGTGTGGGTCTCTTGATTGGAATCCCTGTGAGTAGCTGGAGAACTCAACCTTCTAGACAACTATGTAGATGCTGACAGCACCGTCAGACATTCCTGGTCTCCTGGTGCCCTCCAGTATTACGGCCGAGCTGAACTGCAAGCATCTGATCACAGGTACGGTCCTCGCCGCCTCGGGCACGTTCTCCTGGGCTGTGGAAAGCGACATCTGCTTATCCCCATAACCCCACAAAGAACGGACATGTGGTCCCCCCCGGGATGCGTGTGTGCACACGTGTGAAATATGGTAAAGAACGAAGAATAGTGTGACCAGTAGCTGTGTCCCCACCACCAAGAATGAATCCGTGTTGGTATTGTAATTGCTCAGATCATAAAGGACCTCATTTATGAAAATTGCAAAGATGCAGCCTGTAGTATTTTGCAATTTAAATTCCTATAAATGATGTCATTGTGCAACTTGCTTTTTTGTCACTTAATGTCTTTGAGATGCAATCACGCCGGCATTAACAGACCTGGCTCATTCCCTTCTAATTGCTGTTCAGTATTCCACTAAGTATATCGATGGAATTTACCCATTTACCTACTGGTGACATTTTTCTTCTAATATTTTATCATTACAAATGCGAAATGGTTTCTAAGTATTGGATTCTGAGTTCTTAAATGCTCTGAGCTGTTGGTTTGGCCTGACGTGTCTTGCATTATGGATGGAACACAGCAGCAGGGTCAGTCAGCTCGGTGTGCGCTGGGACCAGCCACAGAGGGAGATTAGTCTCATGGAACATCTTTAAAGAGACAGAGGATGGCATTTGAGGGTGTGAATAGGAAGGGTTTGATCTTCCCATGGCTGCTACCAAAACTAGCCTGTCAGTTTCAACTTCTACAAGGAAAGAAATTAGGAGAGAGAGTTGGTGATCAAGAGCTGGTCAGCCAGTAGGTCTAAAACTTCAGATATTCTAAATTCTTAGGAAACCTGTTGTGGCAAATCCACACCTAGAAAGGAACCTTGGAAAATCTCCAGTTATAGGACTTTCTATAGCAAAGTATTGGTTTGCAAGGTCAGCGAGTGTCTTTAGAAGCAATTCATTTAACTTCTATTCACCGAAGGGCCTTGTATAGCAGGCCCTGTCCCTGGCACAGTGAACAAAAGAGACAAGACCATATTCTCATGGAATTGTCTAATGAGGACAGACAGACAGTAAACAAATGTGAAAGGAAAAATAGTAGTGACAAGACTCAAAGGGTTGGTGCTCTTTTATACCCAGTGTTTAAGGAAGGCCTTTTGGATATGATGACCGTGGAGCCCTAGACCTGAAAGAAGAGTGTGAGCCATAGGGGTGACGGGGGGAGAGCATTCCAGGGCGAGGCGGCGAACCTTCAGGGATCCAGAGAATCGAGGTGGAGTGGAAAGAGTAGAGGAGGTCATAGGAGCCAGGCAAGCAGTGCAGGCCATGAGGAACCCCGTGGGCCACAAGAATGTTGGGTTTGACTCAGGCTGAAGAGTGGCATTATCTGATGAGGTGTTGACAGAATCAGCCAAAGGGAGTCCAGTGGGGCCAGGGAAGAAGCTAGTGCAGTAAGCAAGGGTAGTGCCAGCCTTGGACCAGGTGGTCACGGGTCCCCATGGCGAGAAGCAGTTGGGTTCTTGATAGATTTTGAAATTGGAGCCCACAGAATTGCCTGAGGGATTGGATGGGGTCTTGGGGGGGAGCAGATTTGAGGAGGACCCCAGAGTTTGGCCTGAGCAGCCGGAAGGACGGAGTAGCCTTTGCTCAACTGGGATGCTGGGAGCTGCAGATCTGGACATACTGGTTTGAGGTGTGACTTAGACATTTGTGGATTTTTCCGATTACAAAAGCAGAGCCTTTCAGTTATCGACAGTTAGGGGAGACATACGTCCACAAACAAACCCTCCGTAGTTCCACCCTCTGAGACAGTGTCTGCAGTGGTCTGTTAGGTGTCGTCTGCATTTTCCGTGTGCATTAGAAGACTTTACACCAAAATGTTAACCTGTGTGCGGCGTGTATGTGCTCGTGTGCAGACACCCTTTTACATACATGTATGCGTATAGGGACATTAGGAGTATATTTTGCAGACTTACTGTTTTGCTTTACTACATTCATATTTTAAATTAAACGTTTTATGTTGGGGTAATTCTAGATTGGCATGCGACTGTAAAGAATAATACAGAGCTCGAGTACTCTTTCCCGGGCCCCGCAGTGAGGAGATCCTGTCACTCTGTAGCACAGTGTCACCACCAGGATAGCAGCCATGTCACTGTCAAGACACAGAACATCTCCTTCATCAGAGGGATGCCTCCCGGCGCCTTTTCACAGCCCTGCTCCCTAACCCCTGTCCGCCGCTGCTCCTCTTCTCCCTTTCCATAATTTTGTCATTCCAAGCATGTTACATAAATGGAATCAGAATGCGGGGGGGAGGGGGGGAGACTGGCTTTTTCCCGCCAGCCTCATTCTCTGCAGATTCATGCAGTCGTCCTGCGTATCCGTAGCCCATTCGCTATGGGGGCGCTGCTGGGGGCGCTGCCCGTGAGCATCTGCACCTGCCGCTGCCTTCCTCAGCGAGGAGGCTTCTCTTAAGCATGTGCAGTTTCTCCCAGAAGGTTTTCTGCCACTCACTTAGTGCATATCCCTGCATCAGATTTTTCTCCGTCTTCTTTTTTTTTCTAGATGCCAAAAAACCCCCAAAATCTAACAATGGCGATACAAATTTGTGGGAGGAGCATACTGATTATCACTCACATCTCTTCATTTTTGCAGTGTTCCCTGGTTTTAAAGGTCACTGCCATATCATCTACTATTTTGTCTTCTGTTTTGTTTCCACTTAATGCTGTATTATAAAAGTCTTCAGGAAGATTACATAATCTTCATAATAGAGGATTTCCTAAATTTTTGTAAAGAGAGTAAACCCATCCCTATATCACAATGGCAATAAACAGTTGCATTATTTCCTGCTGATCTGTTTTCCTGGGTATGTCAACTCGACTTCTGACATTATTCTTATTAATTGTGTAAAATATTATCATATGGCTGCACCATAACCTGTTTCCCTGTCATGGGACAGATAGACTGTTTCCCCTTCCCCCTTCCATCAGCAGTGCTGTAACAATCATCCTGTGTACAAATCTTTATGTGAATCTCTGGTCACTTTCTTAGAACAGAGTCCTAGAATTAAAATTAGTAGGTTAAAAGAGATGAACATTTTTGAGATTCTTTTTTTTTTTAAAGATTTTATTTATTTATTCATGAAAGACAGAGAGAGAGAGAGAGGCAGAGGGAGAAGCAGGCTCCCAAGGAGCAGGGAGCCCGACGCAGGACTTGATCCTAAGCCGAAGGCAGATGCCTAACCATCTGAGCCACCCAGGCTCCCCATTTTTGAGATTCTTAACAGCAATTGCCAAATAGCCCTCCAAAAAGCTTGAACCGCTAGCCAAGGGGGAATTCCCACTTCTCTCCGTCCTTGGCAGTACTGACTAATACCACGTAGAAAAATCTCTGCTAATGGCTGGCACTGTTTTTTCTAAATCACCCTTAGGTGAGAATGCCAAGACAAGACTAAGATTGGGCAAAGATAGACTCTGAGAGCCTAGGACAGCACAGCCAGGTGCCGGCGCTGGGCTGGGGCCACACCCGTGGGTCATCGATGTTCGCTCTTGACAGCGGAGCTCTGGGGATTGGGACCTGCTCGGCCCCGTCACCTGTCACCTTCTTCCCTCCGTGTCTAACGCAGACCTGTGCTGGCGATCGTGGAGGTGGAGGTTCAAGAAGTCGATGTGGGTGCTCGGGAGATGGTGTTTCGGGAAGTGTCTTCTTTCCAGGGCCCCCTGGATGCCACCGTCGTGGTCAACCTTCAGTCACCGACCTTAGAAGAGAAAAACGAGTTTCCTGAAGATGTGCGCACAGAACTCATGCAGACCCTGGGCAATTACGGGACCATCGTTCTTGTCAGGTAATTAGTGCCCCGGCTGGTGCGGGTCCCATGTGCGTGTTGGGTACATGGCCGGCCAGAATCCACGAGAGCTGCCGGGTCGTTCTTGGCATTGACTTGGCCCATGTCGTTCATTCTAGGATCAACCAAGGGCAGATGCTGGTGACTTTTGCAGACAGTCACTCGGCTCTCAGCGTCCTGGATGTGGACGGTATGAAGGTAAGTCGTGCTCAGTCACCCGTGGAGCGGGGGGCTGCTTACTCCCCAGAGTCTTCTTGGGCACCACATGAGGGCAGAAACTAGCACCCTTCCTTCTGGTGTCTATTTCTGGTCCCCTCGTTGAAGTCTCTAATGTCCAGCCCTGGCCACTTGCAGAATTTGGGGGGAAGAGCAAGTGTTAAAGATTTTTTTTTTGATTTATTTGAGAGAGAGAATGAGAGAGAGAGAGAGAGCACATGAGAGGGGGGAGGGTCAGAGGGAGAAGCAGACTCCCTGCTGAGCAGGGAGCCCAATGTGGGACTCGATCCCGGGACTCCAGGAACATGACCTGAGCCGAAGGCAGCCGCCCAACCAACTGAGCCACCCAGGCGCCCCGGAAGAGCAAGTGTTAGAAGGTAGATCCCCCTGAGTCACTGGGTCTGTCTCAGCTCACACCTGCACATGGGAGAGCATTGCAGTCCTTCTCTTTAGACAGAGTACTTTGGAATATGCAGTGTGCAGGAGTTCACGTTTTGACAATATCCTGGTTTTACGTTCACATGGGATGAAAAGCTGGAGATGATAATTCAACTTTTATTTGGGCCAAACGTGAGCTCTGCTGATCTTGCCTGAGGTCTAGACCCTCAACTTTTCTTGGCAAAACATGAAGATTGGCCTGCTCCTGATGCAGGAATTTGAGCCGGATGCCCTTTGAAAGCAAAGGGGGTGGTTCTGAGGTCTGTACTTCTTCTCAGATGGCCACTCTGTCCTCACAGGTGAAAGGCAGAGCCGTGAAGATCAGACCAAAGACCAAGGACTGGCTGAAAGGTTTGCAAGAGGAGATCATCCGAAAGCGGGATAGCATGGCCTCCATGTCCCCCACTGCCAATTCCTGTTTGCTGGAGGAAAACTTTGACTTTACAACTCTGGATTATGAGTCAGAGGGTGAGTAGCTTTGCAAGGACCTCTTGGTCATTGTGGCAAGGCCAGCAGGCAAAAAGTTCCAGCAACCAGCATGAGATTTTCAAGACCCCTTGTCACACCTAAGGTGACAGACGGTCCTTGGAGCACAAGCACTATATTCCATGTGCTCAGCTGGACACTGTGCACATCTAGGGGTGATGCATGAAGCGGTAAATAAGACCTGGAGCCATCTGAAATGACAGTGAGAACAGTGTTTTTGAGGCTGTCTGGGCTGTGGGCTCAGTCCGTGTCTCAGGCCTAAATGGAATTTACGTCCTGTACCTGTCGACACGTGGGTGTCCCCAGGCTGCTAGAGGCTGGGCCACAGGTGTCCCGACGCCCAGCAGCAAGCCCTGATGGTGAAACAGACCCACTGCCCAAAGGCTATGCCATTTATCCTTATTGTGTGCTGACACATTTCCTTTCCCAAGGGGATATTCTCGAAGATGACGAAGACTATTTGGTGGATGAGCTAAGTCAGCCTGTGGTCTCAGACGGTGAGATGGGCGGGGACAGCCTCTCCGAAGCCCCCAGCTCCACAGCAGCGGTGCCTGCCAGCAAGTCACCTACGCTCACTAAAAAGAAGCAGCACTCGACCTACAAAGGTAGCTTGGCCCTTCCTTTTCTAAAGAGCCTCTGGCATCGAATCTGCTCTTTCTCTCAGCACCAGGGCATTGCATGAGGCTACCAATTAAGTGCTCACAGCCCACGCTAGAGCTGAAACCACAAGTCCTAGTAAGTGGGTGGAAACCGGGCTCTGGGCCCACATCCAGCTACCACCACACTGATTTTCTCTGTGCTTTTTATTTATTTATTTTTACCACCGGTACCACTATAGCACACCAGATCCGTGGTAATCCCTGCTTCCTCAGTATGTTTAAATGGCCACAGCCCTGAATTGGTTTTACATTTGTAATTCTGTTTTTCTTCTCCACAGTGTATGTTTCAATCCCGTAAGAGACACAATTATTTTTTTATTGAAATATAATTGACATACAACGTTATATTGGTTTCGGGTGTACAGCTTAGTGAACTGTAATTCTGTACATTACACAGTGCGTGTGGTTACCATGTGTCACCGTATAATGTTGAAACAGTATTATTGACTGTATTCCCTATGCTCTACTTTTCATCCCTGTGACTGATTTTAAACTGTAAGTTTGTATCTCTTAATCCCCTTTACCTATCTCCCTCTCACCCTGGGGGCAGTCAACAACCAGTCCTCTGTATGTATGAGTCTGTTTCTGGGTTTGGGTTTTTTTTTTTTTTTGGCTGTTTGTTTTGTTTTTTAGGTTCCACATGTACGTGAAATCATACTTGTCTTTCTATGTCCAATGTATCTCACTTAGCACACCTTCTGGGTCCATCCAGCATCTACGTCCTGAGTGCTGGGGTCTGGTTACATTCCTGTAACATGGTATTACACAGTAATATGATACATTAGCATCATTCTATCATTTGAGACTTAAGCAAAGAGGGACTGAAAGTCCCGCAGATTAAACTGCAAAGCCCTAGGTTATATGGTATAATGGCCCTTTTGAATAAGTTTTAAAGCCCGCTGGCCTTTCATGGGCTGGAAGTTAGGGTCGTTCGTGCCCCAGACTCTCCCACAGCCACAAGTGGATTCCCTCTGCCTCTCACTGTGCCTTCCCCAGTGGAGGAAAGCTCTGTCTGGTAGGTTCGGCAGCTTAGCATGTGTCAGGCCCCTTTGAGCTGCGCCTGCGAATACAGAACAGGGTGAAAGTGAATTGAGACTCTTCCCAGGGAAGGTAATTTGCCAGGAGAGGTGCACACACCCCCAAGCCTCTTTGTGCCCTGGTCCCAAAGGCGGTTAGTAGCCTGGCTGCATTGAGCCATCAGGAGCTCTCAGATGTACAGTTGCTGATCCCCATCATGGAGATGTGGGTTTGGCAGGGGTGAGCTGGGACCCTGAAAAATCTGATATTTCATGAAGCTCCCCAGGTGACTGAGATGCATGACTGGGTTTGGGGACCACTGCCCAGTCGAGGTGGTTCTGTGCACTGAACATCCAGAGGGCTCCTGCCCTGAGTAGAAGTGGCTGAAGGGGCACGCTCTTCAGACAGCAGGCGATCCTTTTCTGCGGGAGTGGCCATCATTCAGGAAGCCTCTCGAGGGGAGGGCACATATGTGCACCAAGACCTCTTGGAGTGAAAAATTAGTAGAGTGGCATGGGGCTATGTGGGCAACCTTGCCACCTGGCAGGTGTCAAGAAGGACATGTCCTCGATGCTATGGGGGTTCAGGCATTCCCATTAGAAGGAGAAACCCTGCCTCTTCCCAGCTCCAACCTCAAAAATACATGGGTTTGAGCCGTTGGAAATGTGAGGGGTGGAGTGTCTGAGCCAAAAATCGGGCTATGTTGTAGTGTGGGAGAGAAGACCTGCAATTTCCCTGAACTTATGTGTAATAAGTGTATATGTAATAAAGTCAAAGCAGTCACGTCCTCACGCCCCTCCGAGCTTTAGAAGGTATTTGCAGGACAAGTCAGGAGGCCGATCACCTGTGAAGTAGCTGGCAGTGGGTGACGGTGAGCAGGGATGCCCCATACCAGGAGCTTGCCCCCGGATGGCAGGCTACCCTGTGGGCAGAGGCAGAGAATATTCTCAGCTTCCAAAACAGCTGTCCTGTGTTAGAGTGAGGAATTCACACTGAGGGGCTCTGGTCTTCAAGCGTCTCCTCTACTCTGTGTGAGTCTCCTTCATTATTTCAGAAGGAGACACCCCTACCCTTGGAAAAATTTCCATGTCTGGACTAGAAGCCTTGTCCACAGTTCATCTGTTCCAGGCAGGCAGTGGGCGCCCCACCCCCGCCCTCCTGTGCCAGCGGAGAGGGGCCCCCTGCCCTGCGGGGGGCCCTCCTGCGGCCGGTTGGGTTCCGCGCAGACCCGAGTCCGGGCCCTGCCTCACGCCTCCCTCGCGTTCCACTGTGTCCTCCAGATGATGCTGAGCTGGTGGCGCGAAAGCGGGAGCCGGAAGCAGTTGGAGATTTCCGGCACCGTTCTCCAAGCAGGTCTCTGTCGGTTCCCACTAGGCCTCGGCCACCTCACCCACCGCAGAGACCCCCCCCTCCAAGTAAGACTTTGTTGCTTTCGGCTTCCACCATGCCTGCTGGAAATAACCCCCTATGTCCTGCTACTCAACACCTGCCTCTGAGTCGCTGCTGCCTCGCTGGGTCCCCAGCGCCTTCCCTTGCTCAGGCTCCTTTCTGTGTTGATCCCAGAGATGGTTGTGTTTCTCACAGCAAACTACGTGATTCTTGTACACAGCTCTTCGCCTTCCCGTTGCCGTGGTTTGCATTAAGGGGCTTTCTGTTGGAGATGGTAGAGAATGGAAAACTTGAGGGGGCCGCCAAGCAAAGACCTTTTAGAACCTTCCTCCACAGCCCCGCAGAAGTGGCCTTCTGTCCATGCCTGCTTCCCCCCTCCCTGTTTCCCAGGGCTCCAGGAAGCCCCGATACCTGGCACTGCAGGCGTCCTGGCTTCTGTGGGCCCACACCTGCTGCCCCTGGCGTCCGGCCGCCTGAGGGTGGGCCCTTCCCAGCCCGGCCCCGAGGACGGCGCTCCTCCTCCTGCTCTCTCCTCCAGAGCAGTCCTTGGCCCCTCAAGCTTCCCTTAACGACCTAAAAAGACATTGGCGACGGGCTTTTGAGCACTTTCTCTTTTACCTCTGCTGTTTACTTCTTCCCCCCCACCCCAAAAGTGTGACAGTCAGACACAGAGATTTTCCCTCAGGCTTTACTTTCCCATTAGGTTCATCTTGGCTTACGTCACATTAGTAATCGATGGCAAGCTGGAAGCACGTGACTTTTTAAGCATAGTCTTTCCTTTTCTGAGTGAACACTCAGAGATTAAAATACTAAATAAATAGTAAAATTTATATCGTATTGTGAAAATTTATAAAAATAGATACGTATAAAAAAATAAAATTTTAAAATGCACTTGATTGTCTACAAGTAACAGTTGTTAACCACAAGACTTCTAGCCTTTTTCTGATTATATACATCTGTACTTAACACGCGGTTATTTATTTAACACACGGTTATTTATTTATTTTTTTTACAAAACTGTATCCATTCTGCTTGGTCCTTTGTCTTTCATCTAATGTCTGTGTCTTCAAATGTTCTTTTTTTTTTTTAAAGATTTATTTATTTATTTTTAGAGAGAGAGCAAGCGCATGCCAGTGTCGGGGGAGGGGCAGAGGCAGAGGGAGAGAGGGTCCCAAGCAGACTCTGCACTGAGCGCAGAGCCTGACACGGGGCTCGATCTCATGACCCTGAGATCACGACCTGAGCCAAAAGCAAGAGTTGGACATTCACCGACTGTGCCACCCAGGTGCCCCTACATGTTCTAAAATATGCTTTCCTAATGACTGTGTCATTTAATATCATTTATTCCCCTGCTTTGGGATTTTTTAGATTTTGCCCACAAGCCATTTTTTAAAATGGAGTCCCAATAACAGCAGTATATTTTAGACCACTCAAAAATACATTGACTTTTATATCAGATTTTTGAACCCCCCCCCAGGATGTTAGATTAAAATTTGCTTTCAAATAATACTTCTCTAGAGAATAGGCACAAACTGAGAATCAAAAGAAAAATTTAATATCGACCCTGTGGATGCCCACTTGCCCCACACAGGCTGAGACCCTAACTGCGTCCGTGGTTGGCCTGGCTCTCGGCTGCCTGGGAATTGGCCTCAAAGCAGCTGGTGACTTCACTAAGATTGAGACTCTGCCCTCGTTGGTTTTCACAGCTGGTTTAATGGTGAAAAAGTCGGCGTCAGATGTGTCCATCTCCTCTGGCATCCACGGGCAGTACTCGATTTTGCAGACGGCAAAACTTCTGCCGGGAGCACCCCAGCAGGCGGTGAGTTCTTCCGTGTTCAGCTCAAAGCAAAACAGGCCAGCATTTCAAACCTAAGGGATCTGCACCATGGTTCGTCTTCGGCCCCTAAGATCCTGTGGGATTGCCTCTTCTCAGTGAACACATACACCTACATCTCTTTACCCTCCGCCTGCCCACCAGCGCACTCCCAAACCCAGAACTCAGGAGCAGATCTGTTACAGGGTTTCTGCATGGTGGTATAGAGTGTTAGAAAATCTTACTTGATGAAAAATCCCACGTGTCCCTGTGTGGTGGAACTGTTGGTTTCCAGACTCCTCTGCTGCTTTCTGAGGCTCGCTTTTGACCTTGGTGTATAGAGCAGTGCTCGATAGAAGGCAAAATAGGAGAAATTCAGATCAGTTGTCTTGAGAGAAGAGGCTAAGAAGAGGGGTAATAGGGCCTAAATAAGTAGGGGAACTCAAGTAATAACCACAGTGAGGGAGGATTCTAGAGGCAGAAAGTTCCAGAGGATGGCAGTGAGCTGCTCAGGAGGACAGGAGGTGACAGTCAGTGGCATGGAGGTGAGGGCGGTGAAGCCGGGGTGCTGGGTGGAGGCGAGCTGTCCCAGGAGGCTAGACCAGATGTCACGCGTGATAGCAGGAAGAGGGAATGACTCGGCCTCAGTAGTTGACAACAGTGAAGGCAGGTCATCAGTGGCAACCCAGAGGTTTGGGTTAAGAGGGAGCAAGGTGAAGACGTAGAAAGAGCATTTGCGAGAAAAGAGTGGAAGGTGTTTTAATAACTTTGCTGAGCTGTGGGAAAAGTGGCTTCTGATGGTGCTTTCTGGCTTTTACCTGATTAATTAAATAGATAGTGGTTTATCCACATTGCAAAGACCTGTAACCACCCAGTTTGGGAGAGGAGGCTTGTCAGCTCTGAATTATTGCATTCCTCTTCGTGGTATGAGAGTACTTCCAGGAGAAGGAGGCTTGGGGGTTGCAGTCTAGATTGGAGTTTGTGTTTAACTCCCATCTGATGGAGCCCTTTGCCCCTCACCCCTGCAAATTGATCAGTCGGCAGTGAGGGGACCCGGCGAGCCTGTTTTCCTGCCTCTGTTAATATGCTTTTTTTCTTGTTTCTGTCCTGAAGCCCAAAGCCAGGATGGGGATAAGTAAACCCTACAATGTCAAGCAGATCAAAACTACCAATGCTCAGGAGGCAGAAGCTGCCATCCGATGTCTCCTGGAAGCCAGAGGAGGTGAGTGTTCTCCTGGGGCTCTCCTTCTGGTCTTTTATGCATCTTCTTACTAAAAGGGGCCTGGTAGAGAAAGTAACTTTTTTTTTTTTCTCCTGGAGGGAGTATTAAATTGGAAGCACCCTTTAGCAACATTTTATAAAATTCCACTACAAATGTTATTTATTATCCGTTTAAAATTATATATTTAAAATTCAGTGAGAATATAAAAATAACCCAGGATTATTAAGAAGCACTTTAAGGGAGAGACTGAAATAAACAAAAATGAATTTTAGAAAAGAATAATGGTCCAGGCACTAACTCATTCTGCCAGCTCCATAACAAGAGATAATTTGGGACCCATCCCTATTTCAGGCACAAAGTCTTCTTTTTAAATCACCAGCAAGTATAGATTCTTTACTGTCAGGCAGGGACCTCTCCCCCACTATACTGCCTGTTAATTTTTTGTTGCTGTTACTTCACCTAACCCATGTTAATCATATTAATTATAATCACATTCAAAATTGCTGATACTAATATTTTTGAGGGTTGTTGTTTTCATTTTGATTTTGTACAAATATCTCTTTTAGAAAGGAGAGCTCATGCCCTCTGAAAAGCCATAGCCAATCACAACTTTCTATTTGCTTTTAGGCAGGATATGTAACTTATTTGGAATCCCAAGTAACATTGAAGGAGGGCATGAATTAAGAGGTCGAGAAACACTGTTGTAGGATAACACTATCATGAGTGGTTTCTTTTTTTACTAACCAAAAATAATACAGTTGTATGGATGTGAACCACCCACGTGACCACCAACTGATGAATGGATAAAAGGTAGCGTAACAACTATATAGTAGAATATTATTCAGCCATAAAAAAAGAATGTACTCATATATATGCTTTATCATGGGTGAATCTTGACCTTATTATTGTTTAGTAAAAGCTAAACAAAAAAGGTTATATATTGTATGATTCCTTTTATTTATTTATTTGAGAGCATCAGTGGGGTGGGGAGAGGGAGAGAGAGAGAGAGAGAGTCGTAAGCAGGCTCATGCCCAGTGAGGAGCCCAGCACGGAGCTCGATCTCACGACCCTGAGATCATGACCTGAGCCAAAATCAAGAGTCGGACGCTCAACCAACTGAGCCACTCAGGCACCCCATACGATTCCATTTATACGAAATGTCCAGAATAGGCAAATCTCTACAGAGAGAAAGTTACTAGTAGTTTCCAGGGGTTGGGGGGAGGAGGGAATGGAGGGGCGACTGCTAATGGGGGACAGGGTTCCTTTTTGTGGTGATGAGGATGTTCTGGAATCAGATAGTGGTGACGGTTTGTACACCTCCGGGAGTATACTAAAAAACCCCTGAATTGTATCCTTAAAAAGGGTGACTTTCGTGGCATGTGAATTATATCTCAGTAAAGCTACTTTTTAAAAGTGTTCTATGAACGTAGAGGTTAGGAAAGGTTTGAGATCTGAAATCTCCCGGGGATCCCAGCCTAACGTCTTCTTGGTCCTGAGCCCTGCTGAGATTTTGAGATGTTTCGAATTACCTCCCCAGAGAAATGCACACAGACATAAAACTTTGCATATAATGTCTGGGCCTCACTGATCCCCCGTGAAGACCATCCCTGTTGAGACGGTGAACATGAGAAGCTGGGAGCTAAACCTAGCTGGTTGGTCCTGACAGCCCTTAGAGATTTTTTTGTTTTTAGAAAAAAGGAAGTACGTTGCAAATTATTCTTAGGATGCGAACTGCCTACAGATTAAGTGATGCAGCGAATCGCCCTGTCCTGTGCACTTCAGCCGTCCATACGCTTGTGTGTTTCAGGTGCCCCAGGAGATGCCCTAAATGCCACATCCCTGAGGGACCCAGAGGCTTCCAAACCAGAGCCCACGGCAGGGGTGGCCCCGCCCCTGCCCCGGCGGTCTGCGCCCAGAGTCCCCGCCATCAGGAAGCCAACCTTGCAGAGGACTGGAAAGGTAAGAAGCTGTAGTGGAGCCTCTCACTGCCGAGGGGCTCCAGGGCCTGGACTCCCGTCTGTGGGGACGCTGCTTGCCCATCGCTTCCCTCCTTCACACGCCTGTGTGTCCTTGGCTCTCGCTGAGCAGAAAAACCAGGAGTCTCTCGCAGCGATGGAACAGCTGGGAGGTTATCAGGCCTCCGGAGTGTTCTGTCGGAGCCCCCAAACGAAGCCCCTGTGGGATAATTTGTTCCTGTTTGTGTGTCTCCGTATCGTGCGCACGAGGTTGCACGGGTACAGATTTTTGTTTGCCGGTCGGTGGATTTGCAGTGGGGACGCGCTCTGCGCGGCCTCTGATACCGGGGCCTGGACACCTTCTCTTGCCACTTTTCTTGCAGATTGTGTTTTGCTCTCGCTCTCAAGCTTCTCAGCCTTGCTTGCTGCTTCAGAGACATGAGTTTGTCAGGACAGTGGCAGCCCAGAGACTGGCACCTCTAGAGACATCTGGATCTTCCGTTTGATCTCGGTGTTCTAGTAACGGGACCCTCGGTAATCCGTTGGCTGGCCATTCCCGAGTGACTGCCGCTTTCCACCCGTAGAGCGTGTGCGACGTGGCTTTGGCGCTCGCTCTGTGTCCTCCGCATTGGTCTGCCCCACGTCCGCACCTCGAGTCTGTCCATCTGCCCTGCCTCCTTACAAAGCAGACCTCTCCCTCCTCCTTTTCCTTGTGCCTGCTCCATCTTTTCTTTTAAAAGCCAGGGCAGAAATGGGTCATTTTCCCAGGCCGCCGCACAGGAGTGACAATAAAAGCCTGGGGGAGAAGGATCGTTTCTGCGGTTGGTTTTCTAAAGAATCAGAGGAAATGCTGATGCTTTACGATACGAACAGCTCCTTCCGTGCAAAAGCTCCCTTTTGCACCATGCGGTTGTTTTGTGATGGTTTTGAGTCAGAACCGAGGAAGTGACGTTCCTGTGTGAGATTTGCCTTCTACTGTAGTTAAATATCAGAGATTGAAGGAGCAAGCCGATCCATTAGCCCTTCAGTTAGCTTACTGCCCTCACATAAGTTCCGTCCGCCTTGCATGGTACACGCCGAATTGTCCAAGCGGCGGCCTCAGAGATGATAGTTTCCAGAGGTTCGCTTTTAATAAAGGAAGAGCATAACCCCATTTCCTAAGGTAACAAAGGAAAAACTAGTCTCAGAATATTCACGGTGTGGCCCTGGTTTTCAAGTTTCCACTCCTATGTTAGTTGGACCTGCTGGTACTGGACAGATGTGTGTTCCTCCTGCGCTCTCTTGTACCTGGTCACACTTCGGCATCCCAGACATTCTCAGATCTCGAATTTGCTAGAATGTCCGCTTAGCCCCATCTCTGCTCCCCCTGTTGACACTGTCTTGGGTCCGCTTAGCCCCATCTCTGCTCCCCCTG